CTAAAGCAGCATTACCTATTATGACGTCGTTTTCTCCAAAATAGCTGTTCCTATCATCCAATCTTCTCTGCCTCATTCCTGTTGAGCTCTTTTTCTGTCATTAGTTGTCAGTTTGTCTTCTTCATTTTGTTTTCTGGTCCATTCATTGTGGCCTCTCTGCCACTATTTCTGGATTCTTTGTATTTTTCTTTTTTAGAATATCCTGCAGTATTCTCTGTAGAGTTGAATTGGTGGTTGCATATTCCCCTAGTTCCTCTTTATCCTGAAAGCACCTTGTTTTTCCATCAATTTCTAGGGATAGTTGTGCAGGATATATCAATCTTGGCTGGAGGTTATTATCTTTCAAAGCTTGAATTATTTCCTCCCACGCTCTTCGTGATTTGATGGTTTGTGCCAAGAAGTCTGATGTAATTCTGATGGGTGTTCCCTTGTAAGTGATCTGTTTCTTGTCTCTGACAGCTTTTAATATTCTGTTCTTATATTGGATTTCTGGTATTTTGATTATTATATGCCTGGGCATAGCTTTGTTTGAGTTGTAGGTGGCTGGGGTCCTGAATGCTTCATATATCTGAGTATCTTTACCTTTTGCTAAATTAGGAAAATTCTCCTGGATTATTTATGCGAGTAGCTTTTGTAGTTCATTTGTTTGTGTCCCTACCTCTTCTTTTATGTTCTTAATTCTTAAGTTATAGATCCTCTTATCATCTTCTAGTCTTTGTATTATTGCTGTTTGTTTCTTTGTTATTTTTAAGAAGTTTTTCATTTCATGCTCCCATATTACAAATCTGGCCTCCAGTTCACATAATTTATCGTTAGTTTCTTTCAAGCTGTTATGCTAGTTTTCGATAGAGTTTTTAGTTTCCTGGTAATCTCTTTGAACCTGCTTCACATATTCTATGCTTTCTCCATTTTCTCCATCAAACAATTCTCCCCTCTTTTTCTGTTCTTCCATTCTACCATCTGTTTTTTCTTGGGTGGTGCTTAGCATTTCTCTAACTATTCTGCTTATGTCTAGCTTCAGGTCATTAATAACTTCATTCCTGAACTCGTCTATGAGGCTCTGGAGATAGCGCTTTATGTCTATTGGTGTGGTGTCTGCTATTGCCTGTTTCTCAGGATTAGGGGCCGAGGGACCTTTCTTGTTGCTCCCTCTTCCCATATTCTTTGTTCCTTATATATGCAGGCATATATAGGAGGCCCAGCTTCCTTCCCTGTTGGCCACAGTCTGATTGAATTGCGCTGGCGAGGTGTTCCCGCCCACTGCAGTACACCAGGAAGTTACGGACCGGGCAGCCTATGAGGGGCCCGCCCCTCCAGGTCATCTTGAGGTGCTGGGACTGGGTTGTGCTAGCCTACTGGGTCTCAGCCAGCAGCATCACGTAAGCTAGTCATTGCTCACCAATCCCGCTTGAGAGGGGTATATGTGACTGAAGTCACTACAGCACCCTGTTCCAGCAAGACTGCCCAGTCTCAGGATGTCCTCTGTTGGAGCCTCCTAGATTGTGGAAGAGTCCCAGTTTCTCTCACTCACCGAAGGTCGATGCACGGCTCCCTGCCCGTCCCGCTCTCAACTCCATCACGGATTCCCGTTCTCAGAGCTTTCACGTGTCTCTCTCCCTGCCGAGCCAATTCAGACGCAGCTGCGGCGGCAGGAAACCCAAATCACGGTTTCCAATGGTGCGGGCTCCGGCTTCCACGCTGAGGCTTTATCTGTTCCTGTTATAGCACCAGGATTGCATTCCCAGTTGGTTTCTCTCAGCCCAGTTCGTTCTTGGGTCAGCAGGGCATATCTCTTCTCTTGCTTAGGATTCCTCACTCCACACCATTCCTGGATTCTAAGCTGGGTCTTTCAGAGAGCCTCCGTAGCTGCTGCTATCTGTCCACCATGTTCTCCTGCCATTCCAAACAGAATTCTTTACAAAATGAAACTCAGTCTCAGGAAGAACCAAACCCTGGAAACAACCCAAACACCCACCAATAGGCAGACAGGTGACACCATGGGACCCTTGGATGGGCTGTTGTTACTTACATATGACATTGTTGTTACTTACACATACAGCTTTGCTCACAAGACACCCATTGTACCAAAACCTTCAGCAAAAGTTTATCTTGCTGTAACTTCTGTTTGTCATCCTATAAAAATGAGGAACTTTCTATAATCAGGATCTCAAACTTTGGAGACCACTTCTCTGGGATCTGCTAGCATCATAAAATTTCCTTTCTTTTCCTAACCTCCTGGAATCTATTGACTGTTTTTCCCATGACAATGTATCTGTAAATCTTGGTTAGTGAAGGTATACTTCGGGGTTTCAATCCGTTCACCCAGATGAGAGTTGTATGTCTCTTGAAGACATGCATGCTTTAGTTAAGCTAAGGACCTTAAAAGGGACTTTGTATTTACCTACAATTATTGTAGATGACATGAATCTGAAATCATTGGGGTTGGTGTTGTTTAGAGAGATTGGAGTGCACACCTCAAGGGATCCCATGCTGGAAGCTTGGCCTCCACCATGGTAAGATGAAGATGTGAAGGACTTTCAAGAGATGCAGCATAAATGGGGTGTGGGGAGCTGGCCTGTAGTCCCACTACTCCAGTGGGCTAAGATAGGAAGGCTGCATGTTCAAGCCTAGTGTGGGCAACATAACCACTAAATGAGACCCTGTATCCAAATAAAGGAGAAAGAAGGGCTGGGGATGCAGCGAAGGCAAGTGCCCTGGGTTCAAATCACAGCAAATGCTGAGGAGGCTGATGGGGGAAAAGGGACCTTTCTATGTTGTTGTGGGGATGTAAATTAGTATAACTATGGAAATCAGCATGGAGATTTATCAAAACATTGAAATTAGGAATTCCATTGAACCTACCTCTGCCCTGTGAAGGTCTCCTCCTGAAAGAACATCATATTACAGTGGTACATGCATACTCATGTTTGTAACAGCACAACTCATAACAGTTAAGTCTTTGAAGGGGCCCACATGTCCCTCAGCAGATGAATGCGTGAGGAAAATGTATTACTTATCCACACGTGTACACAATGGAGCACCACTCTGTCATAGAGAAAGATTAATGTGAGTCACTGTGAGAAAATGGATGCACCATGACACAAATGTTAGGGGAAATAAATAAGACACTCAAACATAAATACTGTGTAAAAGCATAATTAAAACCAAAAAGATCACATAATAGAAGACAGGGAGGTGTGAGATCTTTGGCAAAAGAGAAGCAGATGAAGGGCTTGGGAGAGGGAACAGAGACGCCAATAAAAAAGTCCAGCTGTGTTATGTGCTTGCAGGGACTGCTCACAAGGAATATTATCACTGTGTGCTGTAACCATGTGCCAGTAAAAATAAAAATTAAAAACAAAATAAAGAGAAAATCAAGTGTGATCTAGAGGGCAGTAATTAGTTCATGGAGGTGCTGTTCTTCTAAGGAACTGATGTGTTTTTTTGGGACCGCAGGTAGGTGTTATACGAGGGTTGTTACATAAGAGTAACCCCAGACCCTCCCCTTCCTTAAGTCCCAAAATTTGTCCAGGCACCATGCGACAGCTAAGGCCCTGATTGTTCACAAGCCAGCAAAATGGGCCAAATGGGGTGCGAGGATCGGGGGGGGGGTAGAGCAAATGGTCTCACAAATCTTTGCCTCCCACATGCATATATGGAAAAAACTGACAAATATTATAGTTTTTTAGTTTTATATTTTTCCCATATGCAAGACGCAATAACACAAAAATCACTAGTTTATTAAAGATTACTTCAGTTTGCAAGAAAATGGGACACATAAAAATGACCCATTTTCAAAATGAAAATTTTTCAATTCTGAGTGGAAAATTACTGAGTTTTCTACCTGCCTGACTTGGTTCATACATTTGGAGGGTGTATGGGCAGACAGGACCTTGAATCTTCTAGGAGGCTTTGGACTAGCCTTTTGAATCAGGCTGGAAGAGGTCTGAAGACTTTGGGGGATCTTGAGGGCAGACTGATATATCCCTAGAGTCTTAGTGAAAGGGAAAGTTAATATTTTAAAAACCCTGCCAGAATTCCTGCCAAAACAAGTGGATATGTCCAGACACACCTGCAATTACAATATTCCTTTCCAATGTACTTTTCTCATAGTAATGGAACCTCAAATAGGCCTTTGATAAACCCCTCTATACTGCCTTTGTATAACTGGTACTAACAGCTTTGTGATGTAACTTATATAACATAACAGAACATTTCTCCCTCTGTCACCCAACTCTTTAGCCATATGCACTGCCTTTGTGCCCCCTCCCATTATGTTCCCTTTAAAATCCCTGAGGCCATGCTGGGCAGGGATCTGGTTCTTCAGGAGAGATCCCGCTCAGAAGCCCACCTGAGTAATAAACTGACTCCTTAAGCTCCTTGGTGCTGTTGCATCCTGTGTTTGGTTGTTTCTTACAACACTACTTCAGAGCCTGACCCTGGGTGTGTCAGTGGGTGTGACATTAAACTCCATGACAAAGCAGGGCAGGCTAAGGCAGCAAGGAGGGGACAAGCCACAAGACAGGAATCCCACCCTCCATTGCCCTTTATGTCTTATCCAGGGTACCTGCGAGGGCAGATGTTATGGTTGGCGTCCATGGTGCTTGAGTTAAACTCTTGATTCTTGGCCTGGCACTCCAGGAGATACTGGAAGCTCTGAGAGGTGGGGCCTGGTGAGAGGCCTTCAGTCACGAGGGGTGCATTCTAGAAGGGGATCCTGGGACTCAGCCCTCTCCTCTTCTCTTCTGCTTCCTTGCCAGCCTGTTCCACATGCTCCTGGCACTGTGTCTGGCTTTATACCACGTATGGAGAGGGATCACCTGGGTTAGAATTCACAAAACTCTGAGGTAACATGCACCTTCCCTCTTTGTTGTACCCCAAAACAAGGCCCCAAGATATTAATCACAATGGGGGGGGGGGCAATATGTATATAAAAGAGCGCTTTAGTTGTACCCAAAAACAAGGCCCCAATTTATTAATCACAATGGGGGGGGGGAATGTGTGTAAAAGAGTGCTTTTATTTAAGCTGGTACCCAGCGGCACAGTGCAGATGGAGTTTGCAAAGCTGTGTAACTGAGTTAGAATTTTGACAGATTTTTATAATTCATTTATGATTAGCTCATTGATCATTAAGTACATAGCGAGGAGAAACAGAAACAAGGTGGGCCTTTGTTCCCCTTTGCTTGAGGTCAGAGGCATTTCACAGTGGGTAGTTAGCCAATACATAGCCCTTGGTCTGCCCCTTCCAGGAACACTTGTCTCTCACAAAGGGACCAAAGGTTGACACAGCAAACAGGTTACTGGGAGACGGGGATGAAGATGCACACAGAACAGCATGATGATGAGGTCAGTTAATCTATAACTATGTGGTTGGTGCTTCGTGTTTATTAGGGTAACGAGTACAGCACAGAACGTTGACAATACTGGTAATAACTATCCTTTTAACTAACTATTTTTGCTAATAATTATTTTAGTCCAACACTCTTCACCAGGTGATGCATGAGAAGTACTCGCTGGAGCAGAGCCTAGCTTATCGCCTACGTCAGTGACAACTCTCAGTGGCTGATGGCTCCACCTGCAAGAGAATACATTTGTGTTTTTAAGCCACCACAGCTGAGGTCGCAGGCCAGCTGTGACATACTGCTGAGCCAGTTTTACCTGTGACCTTAATTCCCCTCAAGAAGTCTCGGCCTGACTGATGGGAACTCTTGGGTACGAGACAAAAAAACCACCACCACGCACAGACATTAACAGCAGGCAGAGCCCCAAAGCACTGTTACAAGTTTTACCCCAGGACAAAACCAGAAGGAGAGATAAGGAGCATAGAGATGGAAAGAGAGGAAGAAACACACACCCCATACACACACTGTCCACCAGGAGTTTGTGCACGCAGTGCTAGAACAGAGATGAGGATTTAGAAAAGGTCTCGACAGAAAACTGGGAAGCGCACAATTAGTGGGAAGGAAAGCAGCAGAGGGAGCAGGTGAAGGAAAGGAGAGGGAGCTGAGGGGGACGAAAATGATCAAAGTTAGGTATATGCAAACCCAATACACCAAAGCCAAACCATCATTCTGCATCAGTATATGCACCAATAAATCACAACATTAAAAACAAAGGTTCTAAAGAGAAGTCTCCTCTGACTTCCCCCAGAGGACCTTTGTGTTATCTTTCTGATGTGGCAGTGGAGGAAAACTTGCAATTTAGCATCAAAGAAGTGTAAGATTGCTGGTATCACTTCTAGAAAAACATGCAAAAGTATACCGAGCTGATACCACAAAGGGCACAGAAGTTACTGACATCAATGGAGACACACTCTGAGATGCCAGATGGGGGTTCATGTGACATTATGAAGCCCTGTGTGTGCCATAAGTAATTTAAAAATCACAGCAATGCCACACAAGATTATCTTGTGTGCCTGTAGAGCTCTACGTGTAATGTGATGGATTTCTACCATGCCAGGTGGCTGTGATCTTGACCCGGTGAGTGATGAACTCTCCTTCCCCAAGAAGTATCTGGAGCCAGTATGTACAGGGAGACCCCAAGGGAAAGTATAAAAATTCCATAAATGTACTAAACTAGTTGAATTTTCTTGTAGAAATGAAATAACTTATAACCGGCTTCCTATATGGATTAATCCCCAGCTCACCACGTGCATATATTCAGCTTTCTGGCATCTCAGTTTGCCCAAGCAAAGCTTTGAGAAGCTAAGACTCCTTCTAGCTCAGGATCTTTGGCTGCCATCTGGCCCTGAGGACGATTAAGTGCCTAAAGCTCAGACATGCAACCCTCAGTCAGCTCCCTAGGAAAGTCTACTGCCACCCCTGACCTCACTCACAGGCCACAGGCAGGCCTGTTCCTGGAGGGGACAATCCCCTGGGCCTGTCCTGTGCTCTGTGGCCTACACATACCATGTTCTCACAGTCATTAGGAAAGACAGAGAGAGGCTGGTGGTTAGTGGCTGGTGCTCCTTCTACCCTGAGATCCTCTGGCCTAGGCTCATGGCATCCTGCTCAGGCTCAGGTATAGTGTAAGGACAACCTGCAGAGAATTTGCTGGGTGAACGTGTACACCCCTCTCTCTTTCGGGTATCTTCTGCAGGATTTTGGGAAGCTTCCAAAAGGCCTGTGGCTCTTTACACCCACAATACCCAGAAGTCATCCAGAGCCCCTGCTAACTTGCTGTCCCAGGAAACCTAGCCAAATGGAACCTGCAGCAACCTGGGTCTGCCTCTGACACTGATCTTAGTAGACCTGAAACAGCAAGCTGTACCTCAGCTTCAGATGCTGAGCACTGTGGTCCCTGTAGCTTTGTGCCCTTGGTTCCCTCCAGTTTTTACCCTAACAGAGGAAGACCTTTTCCTAAGTGCACATGTACAGATATGCCGGGGAGGAGGGACCCAGCCCCATTGGACATCAGGCCCCACTAGACCTTACTGATCCCAGGATGCGATCCATTATTGCTGTGCTGTTGGACATTTGATGTTTGTTTCTCCATAAAACAGTACCATGATGAGTATTGGAATAACTACTACGAGCGGCGATGGAGATAGCCAGTCGGAGCTCTCTAAAAAGTGGCAAAAACAGAACATGGTTTGGTAAGGGCAGGAATTGGCATTTTCCCCCAGCAGTCCTATGACAAAAAGAAAGCAGATTTTCCACTTTCTGAAATATTAGACATGACAGCCCCAGGGAAGAGGCCCAGAGGATAGGCCAAGCCTGGGAGGGAGGGGTGTGTGTCCAACTCCTACCCCTGAGGGAATGAAGTCGGTCCCTTCCCCAATGGTCTCATGGTGGAGGAAGCCACACACAGGCTTGAAAGCCTCAGGGCTGTGTTAGGGAATCCTGTGCCACCAGCCCCAAGTCAGGCCAGTGCCTCTGGGACACCAGATGCCTTGGAGGCATCATGTGGCACCTCAGCAAGGTGGAAGGGCAAAGTCAGGCCAGGTCTCAGGTGATGGACACATCCCCATTGTCCTGGGACTGGAGCACAAGTCATGGTGACTGCAGTAGGATAGCTGGGCTCAGGTCGGTGAGAGACACAGACACATCAAATGGGCCCAAAGGACCACATGACTCCCTGGCTCCCAGGAAGCCCATTTTCCAGTACAGAAGGAAAGCCCCAAATTTTGTTGAGTTTCTGCTTCTTTAGTCCTATAAACTATCCCACTGTAGTTGTAGCAGAAAATTTAAAATTGGTACCATTTCCTGGGGTTCAGTAATTTCAGGGATGGTTATAAAAACACCAGCAACAACCATCTTTAAAACATTTCCATCCTCCAAACTGAAAGTCTGCCCTAGTAAACACTCATTCCCCACCTCTGTCCATTCCTGCTTTCTCCATGGGTCCCAGGACTGTATGGATCCCATATAAAGGAGGAGCATAGTACTGCCCTTTGGTGACTGGCTTATGTTGCTGAACACAGTGTCTCAAGGTTTATTTATATCGCTATGTGCTGACTTTCTTCCTCTTTAAGGCTGAATAATACTTCTGGAATGTGTGCACCACCTTTAGTTTGTCCATTTGTCCATCTAGGCCACTTCAGTGTCTTTCACATTTTGGCTGTGATAAATGTTGCAGATCTGGTGTGCAAACACCTCTGGGACCCCACTCTTAGCTTTCTGGGAGACACACCCAGAATGCAATGCTGGGGCACAGGTCACTGCTACCTTCATTGTTCTAAGGAGCACCCGTACTGCTTTCCACAGTAATTGTACTATTGTGCATTCCCACCAGGGATACATGTGCCTCCACTTTCTCTAAGTCCTTCTCACATTTAAGATTTTGTTTTTTGAAGTTTTCCCCTGGAAGGGAAGAAGGAGAATCTCACTGTGCTTTTGGCTTGCATTTGCCGAAGGACCAGTGACACTGAGCACCTCTGCATTGCTCGTGGGCCATTTGTATGGTCGCTGGGAGAACAGTGCATAAAGGTCCCTTTCCTGTCTTTTCAGCTGGGCTTGTTTAAAACATAATGTCAGTACTGTTGAGCTGAGGAAGTTCTTTTCATATATGGCCATGGACCTTTTATTAGGTTTGTGACCTGCAAACATTTTCTCCTCGTCAGTTCTATCTTTCACTCTGTGCACATTCTGATGCACAGAAACTTTGAAGATGGCTGAAATCTGCTTTGTCTGTTTTTCCTTCTTGTCATATCAAAAATCAGTGCCAAATCCAATGTCATAAGGGTACTTACCAACGTTTATGAATTGGCAGGATTAGGACATGCTTTTAGATCCTAGGGTTTTAGTTCATCTTGAAAGTACTTTGTTCATGTTGTGAAATAAGAGTCTAACCTCATTCTTTTGCATGAGTATCTGGTTCCCAAGAATCATTTGTTGAAACACAGTCCTGTCCCCCTTAAATGATTTGGGCTCAAAGGTCTATGTACTATGTAGAATAGTTTAAAATATAGGTAATTAATGCAAAAAAGTTAAACAAAACACAGTAGGTGTTTGATTATTCAGCCATAATGAATGGAACACTAATTCACATCACAACCTGGGTGAACCTTGAAAACATGATGCTCAGTCAATGGAGCCAACCCCAAAGGGTCACAAATGTTCTGAAACCACTGACATACAATGCCCAAACAGCCTCACCCATTGAGATAGAAAGCTGAGGAGTAGTTAGCAGAGGCTCAGGGGCTGTGGCATCACAGCTGAAGAGGGTGGGGACTCCATTTTGGGGAGATGGGCATGTTTTGGAATTAGAAGAGGAAGACGATGTCAAGTGAGCTTGACACACTAAGTTTTAAAGGACTGATTTTAGGAGGGTGGGATAAGCGGGCAAATGATCACACTATGTTAAATATATGTACCAATCTATAAATATGAAACCGAATAATCCGTGTTACCAATGTGAAATAAGAAGAATTTTTGTGCTCACAAAAATAACATGGTTAATTTCATCTCATGTAAGCTTCACCTCAGTACAAAACAGTCAGGTTAAAAAGAAAATACAAACCCTCTTACCTGAATGAGCCACTGTACAGACTGTGTTTGATGTTGCATTGCATTTCTGCAGGACTCCATTCTCATGAGGACACCTGGAGAGAGACTGCCTCAGTCAGTTCTTCCCTGGAGCCCTTTCCTGTCTCACCAGCCTCTCAAACCCGTCCCCCCATCCCTGCTGTTCCCAGCCTGATCACAATCCTCAGAAGACATTGGTGTGATTCTCACTAATGCCCTAAAGCTGACTGATTTTGCTCTCGTATGAATATGTCTGCCCCATTGGAGACTCATTCACAGAAGCAAAAATGAACTTGTTTTTTTGTTTTATCAGAGCCTCAGGGTCTCAGGGTTCCCTCCTAGTCACTGCACCCTGCAGGCCTGTTGCTCCCTCTGTAAACATTAGTACTAGCTCGGGCCTGGATGAAGGGGGACTCTGTTACTTGCTGACTTCCTTCATACTTTAAACTCTGTACATTTCACAGTGCTTCTTCTACTTATTTACAAATCATGCCTGGCCTTCCTCCTTGGCTCTTCTTTCTTCCTTTGCTATGCCTTGCTCATCCTCTGGGTGTGCCAACTCTCCCAGCAATGAATGAGGCTTTTTCTTACACCATTGACTCCAGACTCACAGTAGGAAACACTGGAGAAATCACTAAGACAAACAGCCTTTAGCGAACCTAAGTCTTTACTCAGGCTGTTGCTTTGCTTCCTTATGACAGAAACCAGCCTTGGAGATGTTGACAGGTGAGTCTTGGTCCCCTGTGCCACTGCAGGGCGTACAGAACAGCATTCCATGGGCAGAGAGAGGCATCAGGCAGCTCCTCAGCACCTTGGAGTGCAGAGCACCCTGATGTGAAGTCTCCACTGCTACAGCGGCCACACTGCAACCCATCTGAGAATGCTGAGTGGAGAATGAGGCCTTCCATTAGACAGTGCTGCAAAGCCAAGACCAGCGTCCTTTGAGAGAAGAAGAAAAGTAAGAAGAGGATGACCCACGAGAGGGCAGCAAGTGTGCACTGGACAGCTGGCAGTTGATCATTGAGGAGAAAACCCAAAGGGTCAGTGAGGAATGAGAGGCCATGACAGAGACAAGGAGAGTCATGGAGATGTGGAGGAAGTGAGGCAAGAAAGAGCCAAGGAATGCATCAGAGTCAAAGGCCATTAGAAAAACCACAACCTAAAGAACTCAGATAAAAAGGTGTGCAAACAGCAAACGCCTGGGCAGGGATGCCTTTGGCTGCCTTCTGGGGAGAAAAGATCAGAGAAGCATCAGGCCGTGTTTGTGTGGAAGCCATCTCTCTGGGCTGCTGCAGACTGAACTGACTGCTGGAGGTCCCCATAGCCCTGCAGATTGTCACCTGGTAAAGTATAATGCTCTGTCATGCCCCCTCCAACCCATGTCCACATACTTATCACATGGCGTGCAGAATTCAGAAAATCCAGCATCCTCAGAGAAGTAGCCCTGTTTGCACTCGCATTTCCGGTCAGTGACTGAGGAGCAATCTCGTACCATTTCTTGGTCTGCAGTCCAAGGAACACTGGGGTCAGCTCAAAGTGGAGATCCTGACCTCAGCCAGGCCCATGACATTGTAGTTACTAGAGACTCCCGTCCATCCCGAACACAGTGTGTCCCCTATACACAGCTTAATCCACCAAAGCAGGTGCACTGAGGTCTTGTTTAATCTCAAGCACAAGATCTATGTGAAGCCAAGTGTGGTAGGGTACACCTGGAATCCCAGCAGCTGGGAGGCTGAGGCAGGAGGATTGTAGGGAGTTCAAGGCCAGCTTAGGCTACAAAGTGAGTTGAAAACCATTCTGAACTGCACAAAACTGAACCCTAGCTCAAAACAAAAATAATCTCTGGGGCCCACCTGCCTCTATTCATTCTGCTTTTCCACATGTCGGAAAACTTTAACAATAAAAATTTGCCTGTTCTCTAGGAATTGAGTTTGTTCTTGTTTCTGCATGTATTTTGTGAGTTTCTAGATGGAACTGGCTATTTGCAATGAGAAAAAAATTACAAAAATCTCAAGGAAATGCTTTCCTTTGCATCGCAGTATGATGAAGGCTGTGTTCACATAGCTCTGAGTCTGACAATACATAAGGAACAGATTTTATGCCAATGAAAAGTCATGAGCTGCTTTGCTATAGCATCAGCATGCAACTGCTTCCTCCCAATGCAGGATGAATAAATAGGTACTTTTTATTTTTTCTGTTTTCAGAGTAAACACTGAACACCTAAATATCGAATGCTCAGCTTCAAGTCCCTATTTAGAGCCCACTGCCAGCAAGAGCACTGCTGGGTCTAGGGGTGCAGGTGGCATGGCCAAATCTCTGGAACTCACCAGGCTGGCAGGTGGAGCAGGGGCGGCAAGACTGCAGGCCATTGGGATGTGCTGTGTATGTCCCCGGCTCACACCTGCCACACACTCCATGTGTGTGGGGTTTCGCGCAGGAATTCATGACATAATAACCTGTGGAAGTGGTTGGGCAGAGGTGAGCCCTCACAGGGGCCCACCTGCATCCTGGGCTGTACTGGGCTCTATCCAATCCCTGGAGGCTCAGGTCTTTAATGAGTCAACAGCAATGCTGATGCCTTGGAGTTTAAGTTCAAACCGTTATCTGGAAGTAACACACTCTTAGATTCCATTAAATTTCCAGTCCCTCTGGGGCATCCCTGTGAAGCTGCCCCTCCAGTTCTCCTCCACGAACCTACCCTGCACCGTCTTTGGGGTTCAGTGCTCACCGTGGGCGGTGACCTGAACCCAGCTGGAATTGCTGGATACACCAGGCCCTCTCAGTACATACATATACACAGTCTGATGTACACACGAGGGGTCCACCTCACGTGGGAAAAAAGAGATACCTGTCTAGGGTCCTAAAGCGTAGGTGAGCGCAGTCCCTGCTCCTCACACACCCTATCTAGTGCAGCCTCTGCTCTGCTCCAATGGCCACCTATCCCCACAAACCAGGACTCACCTGCAGGGCACATCTTGCAGCAACGGCCAGCACTCATGTATTCATCTATGTTACAGGACTCCGGGCCAAAGTACTGTAGGCTCTGTTTGTAAATTGACTCAGTTATAGTGATTATCTTCCAGTTGAAAAGCATAAGAAATATCTAACTAGCAGCCCACCCCTACTGGTAATGATTTGTCTAGAAGCAATGTTATGAAGTGGTGGTGAACAAGGAAGCAGCAGGCAGTGCTCTCCTCTCCTCTCTTAACAATAATCATTAGGAGCACGAGCTCTCGAGCTATGCATGTGAGGAGCTCTACTGCTGGTAGCTTCCCAAGAAGGCTGAGTTAATAAATCCGAGTGAGTTCCAGTCAAGGTTGGCTCTTTACACTTTAACAGCTACCTAGGTTCCTTCCTGGCCGCCAGCCATGCATGCATTCTGTAGGAAAAGGTGAGAGTTGGACTGGCCGATTTATTAAAATTTTAAACTTTATCATTCCAGTTTAATGCTCTGTTTTCTGATCAGCAATGCCTGCTTCTCACCATTGTGGAGCGGAAACAGAGCAGGGTAGTAGCTGGGATAGCTATCACCAATTGCAGCCATTTCTGAGGGTTATAAAAAATCCAGGCCTGTCATTTTCCTCTTTCTCCATGTGGGGGCCAGGTACTCAAAAGTTATGATCTTGAAATGCATGTGCATAAATGGAAGATTCTGGATATTTTCATGCATGCTCAGGGGGAGTGTTGACCCAGAAACCATCTAAAAAGCACATAAATTGATATTGCAGGTTGATCCCTGAAACAAAGACACCTGGCCCAAAGACGAAAAATATAAACAAAACAAAAACTTAGGGCATGAAGGACTGACTCCAATTTCCAGTAGTACAAAATTCAGATGTCCAGCTTTAAACAACAAAACCACCAGCAATAACACCAACAACATTACAGGCATACAGAAGAAAAGGAAGATACAACTCATTCAAGGAAAAAGACAGCAGATTGCACATTTACTAGAGAGGCTTCAATAATTGTGATCAGAAAGCCAAAGTGAGATATATAAAGTCTGCAGGGACATGATATATGAACCAAATGAAAATATCAACCCCAAAATGAAAATGAAAATAGTAACCCCAAGAAGAAATATGAACAGAAGACAAAGAGACATCCTGGAGATGAAGAGTACAATAATTGAAATGAGCAATTTACTAGGCAGGTTTCAGAGGACAGAAGAAAAACCCAGCGAGCTTGAAAATAGGACTATACAAGCAACAATTCTGTGGAGTACAGAGAAACATGGCTAAAGAGAAAAAGGGCACCGAGCCTAAGAGACCTGCAGGATGCTTTCATCAAATCAGTGCACACTCTGAGATTCTCAGGACAGCAAACATAAAAACAGGCACAGTAATAGTTTGCTGTGATGGGAGAAAATATCCTGAAGGTGAGGCAAGATGTTTCGCAGATATCCAGGAAGTTTAAGGGCCTCCAGGAAGACTGAGCTCAAAGAACCTGACAGGCTGGCTCAGTGTTCAGTCTCTTCAAAGGAGAAGAGAAGCAGGGAATACTGCAATCAGCCAGAAAGGAGTGCCTGTCACATCCCAGGGCTCCCCAGTAACATCTCAGCAGCTTTCTCATCAGCAGCCTCGGAGGCCAGAAGGCGGGGGATCAGGGTGTCCAAGATGCTGAAAGGAAAACAAGGCAGCCAGGAATTCCACATCCGCCCAAAAGGAGGAAGAAAGGGAGGCGTCACAGCGCAAGACAGGATGAGGAAGCCATCAGCACTGAACGGCAAGACCTTGCCATCTGAGTGTTTCAGGTGAAGCGGACAGGAAAGGAGAAGTGGAATCCCCCGAAGCAGTAATGGGCATCTGGAGAAGTGAATACATGGGCCTCGAAGAGTTAGTATGTTTTGCTGTGCGATCATATTCCCAGTTTTAGTTTTCTGTGACTTCAAAGGCAAATACATGAGGATAATAATTGGGCTAAGATTAGAGGTACGCATTGAATAAGGACAAAATTTTTGACATCATTAAGAAAAAGGTGGAGATTCAGCTGTATGGGAGCAGGATTTTCATACGCTACTGATGTAAAGTTGGCACAAACTACAATGAAACTATCGTACTATTAGGATGTTAGCACAATTTGTTAAATGTCAGAGAAAATAGCTGTAGAATACACAAAATGAAGTCAATTAGAAATTTTCCTTATAGAAAATAAATCTGAAAAATAGAGTATCCTAGAAAATAAAGGCATAAACTGTAAGTCATCTAGAATACATAGCCCTAAATCCAGTCAATCATCCCTCTGCAGCTTCTTTGGCCAGCCCTAGCCAGGGTTCATCAGCCCCTTGCCCCGTCCTGTCAGCCCTGGTCCTGCACATTTGACTAGGTCCCCTCCAGCTGGCTATCCTCGCCCATTGGAGCCTGGGTCACGCCCGAGAGCCATCGGATTCCTGGGCGGACTAGGGTGTTCTGTCCCCAAACCAGGCTCCTGCTAGCTAAGGGCATGCCTTGATAGGGGAAGGTGGCGCAGCTGGCTGGGGAGTAAGCCGGGCTTGTTCATTCCTGGATATCAGGACACGTCCCAAATATGTCTCAGGACCGCGTAGGTAAAAAGTTTTCTGGGTTCTCAGGACACGCCCCAAATATGTCTCAGGACCCCGTAGGTAAAAAGTTTTCTGGGTTCTCAGGACACGCCCCAAATATGTCTCAGGACCGCTTAGGTAAAAAGTTTTCTGGGTTCTCAGGACACGCCCCAAATATGTCTGAGGACCGCGTAGGTAAAAGTTCTCCGGGTTCTCGGGAGGCGTGGTAGAAATAGAGGAGACACCCCAAGAGCTGGCTCTCCTGTCTCCACGACAGCGCGCGCTGTGATTCCTGGGGTGTTCGCTGTTAACTGTGATTCAGGTTTATTCGGCACCGATTTCGGATGCTGAGTCCGATTCCTTACTTTCCCCTTCACGTTTTCAAATACATTTTGTCACTTTTTTTTTTTTTTTTTGCAAGTCCTGTTCAAGCATTTGCTCATGAAAAGCAGGACTGAAAACTAAACAGGCCAGCGCCCTCTCGCCCCGCTCCCCATTTGTTCCCGGGGAATTCCCATGTGGTCCCGACCCGGCCGCGGGAAGTGTCCGCCGGTTCCGTCCCACCGAGGCTTACACTCAGGCGCCCCGTGCAAGCCATCCCCAGAGGCCCGGGCGCTGTCGCGGTTGTTCAAGGGACCCTGCACAGCAGAGTGGGCTCCGGCCACAGCTCCTCCAGGCCGCGCACTCCGAGCTGGGCTGGGGGGGGGGGGCACTGGCCTGGGAGAGGGAGCCCCGGGGGTCCGCTATTGACCGGTTCGCGATGGGAAACCGGTATGGGAGGAGCCGAGTGCATGACCCGTTCGCTGCCTTTTCCCTCTAGGAGGTTTCTGCCTTGCTCCCCACCCGAATCCCAGCCGTGCTCACTCACCTGCTCTAGGAGGACAAACAGGCACAGAGAACAGAGCAAGGTCCAGCCCATTGGAACCGGGCGCTGCTCAGCGATGGGTCCCACCAGAGATGCTGGGTGCAGGTCCTCACCGTGCAGTTGGTGGCAGCTCTGGGAGGCTACCCCTGCTTGGGGGCGAAAGGGTGCCAAGTTGGCCTAGGAGGGCACTACAGGCCTTTTTAATACCCCGGTTCAGCCTTTATCCCCGCCCCTATCCCCGCCCTAGGCCCGCCTTGAGCTACACCGCAGGGCTCTGCTTCCTGCCCTAGCCGCCGGGGAGTCTGCCCTGACACCTCGGAGGGTAGGTGGGGGGAAGGGGACTGGTGTTACCTGTTGGAGCAGGAAAGTAAGGGAAGGGAGTAGGGAGAGAGAGGGAGGAGGAGGCCAGGGGTTCTGGGTGCGGGGTCCCGAAGGCCTGGATCAGAGTCGCAGGGTCAGGTTGCCAAGACCAGGGGTCAGTGCCCAGGCCCCCGGAGCTGTGGGACCAAGTTGGGGGGTGGCCAGGACCGAGGCTAGGGAAGCCAGTGGCCTGGGGTGGAGGGACTGGAACCCTGGTCGGGTCTAGGGTCCAGCTTCTGAGTCCCATTGCCAGTGTTGGAGTGCTGAAGCTGAGAGCTTGTGCCCAGGGGCCAGGGGCCCTGTAATAGGAGCTAGGTGGCCAGGTGGTCTGTGGTGCAGGGCCAGAGTCAGAACTGGGGTCCAGGGAGACCTGGGGTGGAGGCCAGGGCCCTGGACTGTTGGACCAGGGGTGTTGGGTGTGGGCGGGTGTGGGGAGAGCAGAGGCTTGGGCCTGTGCTGTGACTGGGTTCAGACACAGGGGGCCAGTGCCAGGGCCAGGCAGTTTCTGTTGGTCCAGGGAGAGGGTCTTGGTTCCAGGACAGGGTCCTGGAAGCTAGGTGGTGGGGAGGGTGTTGGGAAGGTGGAGGATGGAGGGGGGTGGTGGGGAAGTGGTGGTGGTGGTGTGGCTGCTGTGTGAGACTGGGACTGGGTTTGGGTGTACGAGGTGCCTGAGGCTGAGGTGCAGGGTCAGGGGCTGGGGCCAGATTTGGGGAGATACCAGGGTACCATGGCTATGGAGCTGGGGCTCCTGGATCCGGGGTGTGGGGCACTGAGGGGCCAGGGACTGGGGCTGGAGTCCAGTGTACTGGGACCAGAGAGCTTGGGGGATTGGATCAGAGCCCTGGCCTGATTCAAGGGCCCACAGGCCAGGAGGTTGGGGGTCCTGGGAGCTGGGGTCAGAGTTGGGGACTTGGGGACCAGGGCATGGGTGTAGGTGTTGGAGGCCAGGGGCTGGGCGACAGGGTGGTGTGGCCAGGGCCAGTGTCATGGTTTATGTTTGTGTCCCCCAGGCCTCATGAGTTTGCATTGTTCATATGTGATGGTTCATTGTATAGTGCTTGGATTGGTGGTGTCAGTGCCTCACCCACATAGGGGTGGAGCCAGGATGTGATGTAATGGCAGGAAGAAGGTGTGTTTTTCTCTTTGTTGGTTGAGTTTGCTGTTGCAGGCTGCCATGAACTGCAGCCCAGCCATGCCTGCCTGTCTTGGAGCCAACTGAGAGTGGAGTGAAACCTCCAAAAACTGTAAGAAATAAACCTTTCCTTTCCCAACTTTGGGCTTCAGGTATTTTGTCTCAGCGACGAGTAAAAAGTAACTAAGACAGAATTTGGTACCGAGGAGTGGGGTCGTTTGCTGTGACTATACCTGGCCATGTTTTTCAAGAGGTTTTGGAAATGGCTTGTGGGTGGAGTTTGGAAAGGTTTGGACATGTCGCCTGGATGCGTAGAGCTGGAGCAGCTTAGGCTGTTCTGTAGAGGAGATTCTGGTCAGAGCTCAGGAGACCAGAAGGCTGATGATAGAAAGCCTCTTGGTAAAGACCAGGCTTGGGAGGTTTCTGCTGGAAAGGACTGCATTGGTTGTTGGACTCCATATGATGTGTGTTATGGCTTGGCGGAAAGTTTGTCTGCATTTTGCTCCTGCCCAGAGACTTTGCCTGAGACTGAGACAAAGGGCAATGGACTGATTAATCTTGAAAAGGAAATTAAAAAGCAATCAAACATTGAGGCTGTGGCATGGCTATTGTTGGGAGCTTTTAGCCAGCTTTATGTTTCAAATCAGGAGCAAAGAGCCCAGCAGGATAATGTACAATGCTGTGAGTTTGGCCCGAAGGAAGATTCCAGGAAGGGTGTAGATTGTAAAGACAGAGTTGAGATTTTGATTCCTGAGGAGAAACAGAGAGATAAGAAAGATGGCCCCAGGGCATCCCAGGAAGCAAGTCCCCACCATGTGCAACCTCACAGAAAAGATGAAAAAATTTTGCTCAGAGGAAAAATCTATAGAGTGCCATGCTCCAGAATGGTGACAGAGGCCAAGTGAGGTTCCAGAATGGCGACAGAGGCCATGTGAGGTTTCAGAAAGGCGGCAACATAGAGAAGCTTTTCATCACAATCAGGTAAACAGAGCCCTGCGATCCAGGCAACTGACCCCTACAGCCAAGAGAGAGAAAAGCCTGGCTACTGCTTCAGCTAGCAGCAAACCTTGGCGGCATCCACAAGGTGCTGATTTTAGGTGCAAGGAAAATGCACAAATGCTGAGGGTAAAACGGCTTCCACCTCAATTGCAAAGGGCCTGGCTGGCCAAGCAGTGTGCCCCTGAGAGGGCAATTTGTGAAGATGTAAGTGTGAAGCCGAAGGTACAGTGGAGACCCCAGAAGTTTGGAAAAGCCAGGAACGTGGATGATCCAAGGAAAGCTGCAAAAATCGAGCAGAGAGGATTTAAGAGAAAAGCTGTGGGAGTTGAAATCACTGGAAGTGCCCTGGGGGTGGAATCACCCAAGGCTTTCAGAACTTGCAACCAGATTGCTTCAGATGCTGAGTGTAGAACTCTAGGACTTAATGTTTGCCCTGCTGGATGTTGGAATTGCTTTGTTTCGAATGCTTTCTATTCTCCTGTTTTTAATTTTTGGAATGGTAATGTTTATCTTGTGCCTTTGCATTTCAGAAATGTTTAACCTTGTTTCTTTTGTACAGGGGCTTACAGTTAAGAGTTTACCATAGATCTTGGAGGAGACTTGGGACTTGGACTTCTCAGCAATGTTGAAGCTGTTAGGACTTTGGCAACTCTTAGGGGTGGACTAAATGTCTTTTGTATAAAGGATGTACATGAGTCCTGGGGGCCAGGGGTGGAATGTCATGGTTTATGTTTGTGTCCCCCAGGCCTCATGAGTTTGCATTGTTCATATGTGATGGTTCATTGTATAGTGCTTGGATTGCTGGTGTCAGTGCTCCACCCACCTAGGGGTGGAGCCAAGATGTGATGTAATGGCAGGAAGAAGGTGTGTCTTGCTCTTTGCTGGTTCAAGTTTGCTGTTGCCGGCTGCCATGAACTGCAGCCCAGCCATGCCTGCCTGTCTTGGAGCCAACTGAGTGTGGACTGAAACCTCCAAAAACTGTAAGAAATAAACCTTTCCTTTCCCAACTTTGGGCTTCAGGTATTTTGTGTCAGCGACGAGCATAAAGTAACTAAGACAGCCAGGGTTTAGGTGTTAGAGGCCAGGGGGCCGGTTCAGGGGCTGGGGGCTGGGAGCTGGGGGGTGAGGCCAGGGCCAGGGTAGTAGAAAGCCAAGGTCCCATGGGCCAGGGCCCTGCCATGTGTGCTCCAGGGCGCTGTTGTGGTGTACTGGGGCGCCAAGAAGCCCTTGTAGCAGGGTGCCAGAGCCAAAAGTGAGGTGCTAAGGCTGGGCCTGGGGCCCTAAGGCACCGAGTCCCAGGGTTAGGGCACAGAGTTGATGTCAGTAGGCTAGGGGTTTGGGGGCCTCGAGCCAGAAATTGTTCAGAGGGTGAGGATTCAAGGGGAGGGGCAGGGGGACAGGAGGGGGTGATGTGAGGAGCCCAGGGCGAGGTTTATGGAGCCAGAAGTCAGAGCCTGGTGCACTGTGGGTGGGAGGTTTCTGGGGTTGGGTACAAGGGTCCTGGTGCAAGGGGCCAGGAGGTGTGGGGGAGGCAGAATCGGGCAGGTGCCAGGTTTGCAGGGCTGGGTTCCTTGATCCAGGGAGCCCAATTTTGGGCCTGTGTGCATGAGCAGCCAAGCCGGGTTTGGGGTACAGGGGGCCGGGGTGCCAGGGAGGCTAGAAGTCCAGAGAGTGGGGGCAGTGGGCCGTGGGGCCCTGTCTCGGGGTCCTGGGGGCTGGGGTCTTGGTGTCAGGGGTCTTGGTGTCAGAGGCAGCATCCAGGCTGGGGTCCGGGATTGAGACTGCAGAAGGAGGTTTGCTAAGTGTTCCATGCAAGTCTGGGCTACACAGTGAGTTCAAGATCGCCTGAAATACTTAGAAATATGCACTTCTAAAATCACACAAAACACCAAAGGAGAAAACAAAACATCAACAACAATAAAAAACCAAAACAAAACCAAAAAACCAATCAAATAAAGAAAAAACCTTTGGAGTTTGGGCATTTACCTCAGGGGTAGAGCATTTGCCTGCCATGAGACCCTGGAGTTTGGTCCTCAGCACCAAAAATGTTTTCAACACCTGCAGTGAGGCTCTTCTCTTCACATAAAAGCACCACTATAGGTTATTCTGTTTCCTGGGAAATCAGTTCAGAAAGTGTGTAAAAAAAAAAGTGCTCCCCATCCCTGGCATCGGTGGGGGCACAGCTTTGACAGTAAGGCAGTTTTTGCTATGCCCCGAGTGCCCGTTCTCCACATCTTAGCCACACGCTGTCAATGGTTGATCACCGAGTGCTCCATGGTGACCCTGCCCTTTCCTGTGGCTCAGAGCGCCTAGAGCATGCTGTGTGTTCTGCTTGTCTTCGTCCATCACCCTGAGGGGTGCTCAGGTGATCAGGGACAAAGGAACAAAGGGCAGGTGCCTGCTCTGGAGCCTTAGCTCAGGGCCAGTTTCCCAGCAGAGTGTGCTATGAGGTCTTCCCTGATGGTCATTTTCCCACCCAAGTTTATGGACCTAAAAACCCAAGGGCATTATTAAATCAGGATGCCTTCATTTCTGTCTCTTCAAAAATAAACTGGACAAATAACTAAAAATGCCCCAACAAGAGATAGAGCATGGAGGAACACTAGGTCCTTTACCTGTCACTCTGTGAAAGTCTAATGTGTACTTATTCCACCCCTCCACCTATGTGTTCTCTTAATGAAGCAGACAGGGTCCCTGATGGAGATGAGAGACAGGGGCTACAGCCTTAAT